CAGAGCTGAATATATTCTCTGGAAATAAATATCACCTGGGAAATATGTGAGAATTTGTTAGTGTCAAATGCCTTAGAAACAAGTTTACCTTAAAGAAGAATAATCTTATGATTATTTTATGTTTTCAGAAACAGTAAAGGGATAGATATACTAGGCTTTTTCTGAGATATTGGTGGTATGCAAAATGTATTAATCCAATTTGATTGTCAGTTGAATTACTCAAATCTTCTAGGGACAATATTGTCTAATAATAGAAGCTAAGAATTATAAGGTAGGAATAGAGGATCTCTAGCTTGTATGTGTATAGCAATTTGCCACAGAAAAAACTGCACAGTTATTTAAGCATCACTCTGCAAAAGTTTTCCAAAGCTAACAACAAGAGTACAAAACCCCATAAAATTAACAGCATATTCTGTACACATTGTTACTATGGCAAAATAATTGCAACACTGAAGTCAACTTATAGCTGATGTTTAATGATGGTGACTTTAACCCCCCTTGGAATAAAGACATACTTTTCCATTCAAACTTTTCACATTTCTTACTAATAGCTAAAGAATCATTTGTATGCTGCAGAATGTTCTAGTCCTACCTATACAGACTGAATACTACCATCATGTTACTTAAACAGTGGCAAAATTAAAGCTGAATTAAGTTCAGATTTTTTGATAACAGGATTTTTTGATTTTATGAAAAAAGCACAAAGTGCAAAAAACCCATAATGGTGACATGTGCACAAGATTAATGAAAAGATTAATGGAAAGTACTGAACTCACAACCTCCATCACTCAGATACTTCGTTTCTTAATATACAGAGAAGTTAATTTCTTCATTTACACCTTTAACTTCCCCAGCTGTTCATGATGCAGAGGAAATATTTCCACTCGTGAAAAAGCCACATTTAATTTCCACTTACACTTGGAGGCCAGTAAGCAGCTGGACTGTTTTTCTTCCAGCAGAGATGATAGCACAAGTTCCCTTACAAAGACGAGCTCATATTAGGCCTTAATGGTTTTTATCACTGCAGAACATGCAGTCCTGTGTAAGGTTTGTTCTTTGGCAAAACAATGTTTTTTTCCAGCATCTGCAGACCTAGGATCATATTTAGGTTCAGCACTCCAAATAGAGTTTAATGCTTTTATTTTCATCCTTTGCAGCCTTGAAGAAACTATTTTCCATTTTCTGTTACTTTTTGGTAACACAGCTTTTCTTCTTCTCTCTTCAACCTAGTACAAGCTCTTAGTGAACCTCCACCTGAGCAGCCTTCCAATTAATTTTAAATTTCTCCTGAAAAAAAATAATACCAGCTTTTTTCCTCATAATTTTTTGTTGCTTTTCCTGGTAGAATGGATTCAGGAGGTACAAGATATTCATGACAACTTAACTGCTTTTGAGACAAGTTAGAAATCGTGCCTTTATTCCTTCCCATGTTTGTGTTGTGTAAAACTGCAGCAGAATAAACTTACCTGCTAAAACAAAGCTACAACAAGCTGACTATCCAAACCAAAAAAACCTTTTCATTAGCTGTCATTTTTATTTTTAAATAACTTTTAAATTACAGGATAATAATGCTAAAGAGTCAGCTGGAGCCAGAGTAAATAGGTTTCCATGACACTTTACATGCAAGATTAAAAGAAGTAGCGCCCACCAGTGAGAGGAAAAACAAAACCTGGCTGTTCTCTGGGGTGCTCTAAAGCTGTATGGACTATGATAACAGTACAATAAAATAATTATATTTGTCATATATCCTCAGATGCAATCAAGTAGCTGTGCTGAGTAAACTGCACTAGGGTTTGTCTTTTGTTCCATGTAAAGCACGTGAAAATTATAGTTTTCATTCTTCACAAGATTTAATGTTAAGACCTTCCAAGAAACCTTAATGATTGCAAAGCCTCTGTCTGCTTTGCACTGACAAGGGAGTATAGGAACACTATGTAAAACATGAATAGCTGGAATTTCTCTCCTATAGTCAAAATATTTTCTACTGCCTACATTAAATAACACTTTTCAGTACATCTCCTTGAAATGAATTCTGTGCCTGGAAGATTTCCATAAAAATGTAAACAGGTTTGTAATATCTGCTTAGGAAAAAACCCTCTCTTATCAAATAATGATATTGGTAGGAAATGTTCAAAGTTGTTGAGTGTGTTCTGCTGACTCATATCACACCATTGCAAGCAACTTGTTACAGGAGACAGGATATGAGACAGAGAGGAAAGTGAGAATAAAATTTTTAGGAATTCTCTCTTCTAGCTCTTTTAAAACTAAAACTGTCTCAGCTGATTGCTTATTCTTCCATCTCAACTAAAAGAATGGATTGGAGAAAGACAAACACCCCTATATTTTTGGTTGCTACCCATATTAAAACCTTCTTACAATTGGCTGCAGTGAAGTTTTTCTCCCTTTTGCAAGGGAGAACCTAAAGAGGTACATCAATCCCAACCTTAACATCAGAGGAATCATTTAAGTTTAATAAAGACAATTATTATTGCTATGGTTTTGCTGTCTTTTGCAGGTAACTTGCAACTTTTCTTTAACCTAAGCAACTGAGTTGTTTGAATGTCTATAATGTGAATTTATAGTAGAATGATACTTTGTAACTTTTGCTCTCCTGATCGGATATTGAGAGATAACACTTCTGTTAATAGCCTACTTATCAAACTTTGTGCTTCATTCCACCAAATTCCATAAACAAAAGGCTTTTATGTTTCTGATGATGTTCAAATAAATAGCAACTAAAGAAATATCAACTGGAAAACTGAATTATCAAGTTTTAAACATATTAGAATATCTTCAGATATATTTCATTTAAAGGAGCAGATCCTTGTGTAGCTTTTATCCTTTTTGAAATGGAAAATTATTATTCTGATGCTGAGGTCAGACCACCTGAAGGAGAAACAAAGACCTAAAAGGAATTTAAACAGAAACAGCTGAAGGTTTGGGTTCAAACCTTACCAGCTTATAAAAGAAGGAAAAATATAAATAAAGCAAATGAACTAGGGCAGTGCCACCAAGACTTTGTTTGAAACTAGGGGATATCGGTCACCCTGCTCAAGCTCAGCTCACTTACTCGCTCAGTTATTGCAGGACAACCAAGTACAGAGACAGGTTTTCAGGCAGTATTCCCATCACAAACACATTAACTCAGTTTGTCTTAAATGCCTGTGTGATGTAAAGAGCTGGTGGCCAGACAGTTCAGCACACACTTCAGAAAATTCATTCAAAGAATGTTTGTTTCACTCCTGCAAGCAAATGAATGCTGGAAGTGATTATATTTATAAATTGAACAGAATTTGACCTTTAACATGGCACTGTGTTAAAAGAAGTCCAGTTAGTGTAAAGACAATGGAGAATTTCTGGAATCTTAAGGCACACATTTTTCTATTTAATTTTCTTAAGATTGGGCAGATATTCAAAATTATACCTATTAGGAATTTTAACTTTCTAACCATACATTGTACAGCAGCGCTGTGAAGAAACAGAGACGCTGCCAAGAGCTTCAGGCTAAATTATTTTGGATCCTAACTCATCAGGAGGCTTCTGTTCTGAAATGCTCCACAGAGCTGGCAGGACAACCAAATAAAATAAATCAATAAACTCTTAGGGCTGGTTTTAATTGAAAACTATTAACATTTCAGAAAAAAATATAGGGCCATGATGAATTTAAAAATAATGTAGTAGAAAAAATACACAAAAAAAGCAATGTAATAAAAAAATACTGAAAGAAAATCAAAACAACTCAGCTTAATTCTGGCAAAATATCAAAATGACAAGAATAAAAATTAAAAAGTCCTGACAACTGTGAAGAATGTGAATGCATAAAGTATGAGGAAATATGGGACACTAACAAAGGTTTATTTTAAAAACCTTGAATGTTATCAACGTTGTATGAACACATTTTATGAATAGTTCTACAAATGCTCATATTTGCTTTAGAAATTAAAAGCTAGCTGAGTTGTCATGGTTACTGCCCCACAGATATAGCAAAACAGTGGTGTTAGCTTTTTCTTTTTGCTTTTTTTTTTATCATTACAACAGTTAAGACATAAGAGTAATACTATTTTTAATATTCTGTTTTCTGTTTGACAATATGCCTTGAGCTCTTGCTATCCTAAGAAATCAATGGCAGGGAGTCAACATTCTGATCCACTCAGTCCATTCAGATATGCAACTCATTTTTGGTGTTCATTCTGTATGCAGTGGAACAGGGGGATATCCTCCTATCCACCTTATAATAAAATTTTGTCTTTAATGGCACAGGCATACTCTCGCTACAATCTTTCCAACCTGTATATTTTAAAGAATATTTGCATTTCTGAAAATCCCTTGTCCACAGTTTTCTGTTCTATTCAAAGTAAAAGCAAGTAAAACAATTTTTCCCAAGTCAGCTCTGTTTTGGAGAGGGGAGGAGGAGACACCTTTCTTTGTCTCACAGACTACATCTGTAACCAGATGCAAAGAACTTAATTCAAGATGGGGGAGTACTAATGAGATATTTAATCATCAAATAATGGAGGCCTCCTCAGTAGGATAAACACTGAGAGGATTTTAAAGCACATTTCAAATAGAAATCAAAATTCTTTTCATTTGTGCCTCCCACTTGTTTTCTAGTAATAATAGTAATTAAGATTTTTAAAACCCACTTTTGCTTAAAATATATTGTTGATCCCAGATAAGGTAGTGAGCAGTTCATTTCTGTGGCACACCCCTAATGAATTTCTAACCTCACAGCCCAGCTGAGTCCCTGCCTCCTAAGCACTGGCTTAGACATGTTTTAATAAAATGACCACTTCATCAGATTTTATAGTATCTGCATGAAGAGAAAATGGCATCTTTCAGAACCACACCATCCCTAGTAGTACAAATAACTACTTAACTATTCTAATTGTCCTGGAGATTATCACTGCTGAGATAGGTACTTGTTACATGGTTATGAGGCTTTAGTAATACATTTAAGAGTTTTCCATTATGCACTGTTTTAAAATTGTACTTAACATGGATAAGGATGAATGCAAGCCTTTATTTATATATCCAGAACAGTCAATCCAGTTGCAACTAAACGTAGAAGTTCACAGATGAGAAAAATATCTTTAGATAACCCTGAAGACTGTAAACTAGTTAGTCTTTCACTTCTATTAAGTTGCTTTTTTGAGGAGGTGGTAGTCAAGGACTGAGGATTCACACAGTGATAGTCCTTCTTCTCCACTGAGAAATATATTCTTTCTTATGGTCAGTCTTCCCTTCAGCTGCCAGGGGTCCTACACAGGTGCTTTCACTCCAGAGCCATCCAATCCTCTTTTAATAGGAATGAAAGGTTTTTCAGTTCCATAGATATTACATTGTTAGAGTGGAAGTTCTCCCTTCTATTGCTAGATTTTCCTTGTCACTAGAATGAAAGACTTGGTATTCTTCACTGAGGAATGCTGAACTTCACAGAAGGTATCAATCTGTACATTAAAAAAAACTTAATATAAACCTGCAGCCATATGAATTATGTGCAGATTACCAGGAATACTGGGTTAGCACAGACACTGTGGCAATCAGCCACGCTGCAATAACTCATCCCCAGCCAATTCCTCTCGGCTTATTGTGACAGCAAGCAGTTGTATTTCTCCAGACAGAAGTGTTTTTCTGCTACTTGCAGACTATTTGTATCAGAAGCAGTCTCTACACTCCCACTACTTCAAGCATGTCTAACAGAGGACCCCAGGAATTAGATGCCAGATGGCTGGATGCCATATTTAAGTTAAGCAAATTTTAATGAAACTATAGCAGGACGATATATTGAGGGGCTATTTGGCTTTTGCAACCACAAAATTTCTGACTTTAAAACAAGTATTTAGGACAAGAAAATAAGTATTTACAACCCACCATTATCAGTCCCATTGACTTGTGGTGGGAAACGCTGTCCTTGGCAGAATCTGCCAAATCAGGTCATAAAACAGACTGTGCAGCTTGGATTCTTGATGTACTGATGGGATATCTAATTCAAGCTGTTATTTGTAATTAAAACTTAATTGTCAGCAATCATAAACATTTGAACAATTCTTTTATTACATGAAAAATATTCCTTAGAAAAGACATCTGAAATTCAAGCTTCCTTATTCTCCCTCTTTCCTTCTTCTACACCCATATGTTTGAGTAGGGATATTTAATCAACTAAATTACAATTTCATTTCCCAATGTGAACTATTCATTTAAGATTTAAGCGTTAAATTGCATTTTTCTTTATGCATCTCAAATTCCACAATTTCATGTATTTTTTGTGTCTGATGGGGAAAAAAACCCCAAACCCAAAACCAAAATACCACTCCCTCCAAACCAATCTTTCATTTTCCATCTTCCAAACACTTAAATCATCCTCTAATACCATAAAAATAATAAATTATGATTTTTCATAAGAAAGAATTTCTCTTGTGTTGATCTTGAGATGCTGAATCCTGTATTACAAAGAAGTCAGCTTATATATTTATATATATATATATTTGCTTGAAATTAGTTACTTCTGTGAAACAGAATAATTTTTACTTTTATCAGTAAAAGTTCACATGTAAAGCTTTTGAGGAATTCAAAACAATTTATAAATCTAAAGTACTCTCATACAAGATGAACTAAGTTATTATATAGCTACAGTTCCTTTTAAAAGAGAATAGCTTCACTTCAAGAACCAATAGAGCAGATGACAATAAATGTAATGTCCCTATTCCAAGAAATGGAACATTTCACACAATTAGCTGCTGTACTCAGCATTGTTAACTGTGGCACATGAGCACTGCTACCCAAAATACTATAGTAAAAGGCAATAGAGATGGCTTTTCTTCTCCTTTCAGTAATTTTAATATTTTTAAATGTTCTATGAGAAGTGGAATTAAGAAGTAAAAATAAAATCAAAAATTGCTTATGACATGAGAGAAAAATGTAATGAAAAAATCTAATGTTAATGTTTGGACAAATTTCAAAATATTAAATACAAGATGAACATGAAAAAATATTACACATTGAACAGCCTAAATGAGTTTTTGCACCCTTCTACAGTTTCACTACTAATTGAAAAGGATTTTGACTATGCAAAGCTGTCTTTTCAGACTTAGAAAATAATTCCTCTGATCATGGCATACACGAGACACCCGACTTGGAAACTTTTAATGCATTCTTTATTCATCATAGCATTCTTTATTATATTTAGCTAGAATTCCAAATCCACCAGATTTCTTACCCAGTGTTGCTTTCCTTACTGGGGCAGGTGGGTAAGGCTTTTCCTTCACCTGCAGTCGACAGAGAGAGGCATTGCCATGAGGGATCCAGCTGAAATGTGTTATCCACACGTAATGACTGGATGGGGATCTGCCATGAGCAGGCTCCCACTTCAGAGGCCTCAGCTAATAAACAGATTTAGGTATTTTGTTTGAAATCCATCTGCCTATGGAGTGGTGTTCTTTTAATGCAGGTTATCCTAAAGCTTTAGTGTCAGTGTTACACAAGTGTCTGTCTAAAATTAGGTAAGTCCTAAAGATGTTAGCAAATATTTTCCTTCAGACCAACACTTTGATTGCTCCTAGAAGTTTTTGTTTGCAGGTATTAAATCACAGATGCAGGCTTCTTCTGTCATCTTGTTTGGCATCTGTGAAAGAAACCCAAATATCTAGATAATCCTAGGTACTGTAATACCTTTATCCTAGCAGGCATCATTTTTGTATTTCTTCTATATTTCTTTTTTCTCTGGTAAAAATACATACATATACTAAATAAAATAACAGAGGATATTTGATAAGATTTTAAAACAACATATTTTTTTTAAAAATATATTTTTATGTGGTTTTAAATAAAATAATTTAACTTTTAATTAGAACTTAATGGAAAATTAGCATTTTCTTAAAAAGTGAAAAGGCCTCTGTACATATCTGGGTGGCTGAACATGTAATAGCTTGGGATTTATCTTCTATCCATTTTAATTTTGATCTGCTTGTTGTTTAAATTTTGGGATGCTGTGCTGTTGGGCTTTTTCCTCCTCCCTAGAACAGGACAGAAAGTTAAAGTTCAGGCAACTTTCTATTTTAGGTAGGAATGGTGTCAAGTTTTCTGGAATAGAATATGGAGGTGCAGTTCTCATCCATGGAAGTAAACAGATGCAGTGGTTTAACCCTTGCTGTGCCTTCTGCCCTCTGTGCAAAGCCCCACTCCTCCATACTCTGTCACATCTTAAAAGCTATTGCAAGGAGATTTTCCAGGTGTTATCTGTCAGTGGAGCCTTATCTGATATTGAATTTTGAATCTGATATTGGCTTTTGAATACAACATGTTTTGCCTCAGTCTGGGGGTCTAAACAGCAGCCTATGGAACAAGAGGTCTGAATTATCTCTAAAAATAAGAGAGCCACGGTGTTGAGCTCTGTAAATACTTTCAACTAATTTCATTATTTACAGGAAATGAAGTGTTGATTTATTATTCACAGTGATTATTGTATTTTTCCTGCTGGTGAAACAGGACTGTCAAATTATTTTGAACCCAGCTGATGAAAACACAGTATAGATATGCTTATCATGACAGTGGAGGGAAAAAGGTCTCCCTCCCTCTGAAAAGACTCTACTATTGCAACAATAATTAAGTAGAACCCATATAATTTTGCATTTTTACAGTAAACACATCCCCCAAGTATTTTATAACGCAGCTTGTATCTTATGTAAGATGAAACTTTCACCACTAACTTGACATAACATATAATAAAACACATTTTCTGAATTATGCATATGTGTCAGTGGGAAGCTGAACATGAGCCAGGCAGCCAGGAGGGCCAAGCGTGTCCTGGGGACATCAGGCCCAGCATGGCCAGCCGGGCAAGGAGGGGATTGTCCCTCTCTGCTCTGGGCTGGGGGCACTTCTGGGTGCCACAACATAAAAAAGACATTAAGCTGTTAGAGAGAGTGAGAGGAAGCCAAAAGGATGGTGAAGGGTCTGGAGGAGGAGCTGAGGTCATTGGGTCTGTTCAGCCAGGAGGAGACTGAAGGGAGACCTCACTGCAGTTACAGCTTCCTGAGAGGGGAACAGGAGAGCTCAGTACAGATCTCTTCACTCCTGTGACCAGAGACAGGAGTCAAAGAAATGGCATCAAGCTGAGTCAGGGGAGATTGAGTCTAGATTTCTGGAAAAGATTTTTCTCCCAAAAGGTGGTTGGGCACTGGAACTTGCCACAGGATTTCCAGGGAAGTGGTCACAGCACCAAGACTGTATGAGTTCAAGAAACATTTGACGATGCTCTCCAGTGTGTTTCTTGGGGTGTCCTGCACAGGGGCCAGGAGCTGGATTCAATGATCTTTGTGGATCCCTTCCAAACATAATCTGAGATTCTCAGATTCTATGATATACTACTCCATACTACACTGTTTTGATGTTCCTGTAAAAACTGCTTAATGTTTTTGCATTCCTGAGCATTGACAGGTGCATCTTTCTCACATGAAGATTGACCACAGCTTTCTAGAATGCTGCCATAATCATGAGTGCAGATCTGGGGCACTAACCTCCAAGCTTATTGTATTGATGAACAATTTAGATAGAAACTGCAAATATTTTAAACTCAGAATTCGCAGAGAAAGTTTCATTAGCTTGATGTTTTCTTTAGGATGGTATTTATACCCAGTTTCTTTTGTTTCAATGGATAGGTGTTTCTCCCCGTGTCACTGTAGACTTTGACTCTGGCAGTTCATCTGATAGCTTGGCCTGTGCTGAGCCTTGCTGGCATCATTAGAAATAAAAATAAACTTAAATTCAGGCATTATTTGAAACAGCTACATAATCTAACCTGCCTGATCCCCAAAACAAAGCTTATTTTGGATAATATGCAACATGAACACGTTGTTGGATTTTTGGTAAGCAAAATAGATTTCTAAAAAACAACAACAACAAAATATATACTATCTACAGTCACAATGTGGTCAATACTATCTACTCCACCACTCCACTTTCCAAGAATGGAGGAGTTTTCCAGAGTAAGATGAGCCAGAATGGAAATCCTCACATAGTTAGAACTAAATCTAAAATTCAGGAATCCTAGCCTGAAATCTGACTGACTTTCCTGTTCCTAACAGGAATATCTGAGAGCCATAGTTCCACTGCCATGGGAATCAACATTCTGACTATGCATCCTTTGGCTTGCATGGTTACCAAGACCTGAAGAACCTCTCCGGAGTTGTTACTCTTGCTATACTCACAGAAGAAAAAAAATTCAAAAGGGCATAGTCCACTCAGGTTCACTAAGCAAAGCACACTGATCTGCCTGTGTTTGTAAATCTGCTAGCTAAGCACTGAGAGTAAAAGCTGTTCTCTTCTCAGTAAGACAACATTTTTACCATGGGGTAAAAAGGAAAGCTACCTTGCCATATCTTCCTCATGGCTGCCATCCTGTGGCTTTAAGTGACAACTGTTGAAGGTGCTCAAACTCTTTGCTGAGTCTCCAAGTGAACTCCTCCATATAAGGGAGGCTTATAAGGCTGAGCTCACAGGGGTGAACTTACAGTGTACTGACTGCACATGAACCTCACTGGTGGCTCCCAGTGTGGGTTGTCATAGCCAAATGATCCCTCTTATCCTAAAGAAAAGCTGGAAAATATCAACAGGGAAAGAAAAAAAACCACCCCACAACCTTTCAAAACCCCTGAACTCTTCCGGTCTTAAGCATCCCAACAAGTCTTTGAGCACATGGAGGATGACAGAGGATGTGGAGGCTGGAAGTGGAATCTGGGTTTTTTTTAACTGTGCCTTATGTTTCATCACCTTTGAAAGTCATTTTCCAGACATGCAATGTTGTGGAGGCTCAAGAACCCACTGTAGTAACGTCATGGAGGGAAGATTCCAAGATAAAAAGTATCGAAAAGGCCTTTCCCCATGATCCTTTGCACTCTAATGCTAATGCACCCCAGTTCTCTGTACCCTGTTGGCCATCCCACCCCTTTTTACCTTTTATGCCTACTCTCCGGAAAGTTCTCCCTTCCTCGATGTCTGATTTGCCCTTGTATCTCCGCCCCAACATCCCATTGGCTCCCATTGGGAACCCTGCCTATGTCCCGCCCCTGTGCCCCCAGCCCATTGGTCCCTGAGGCTCTTCTCCTCCCCCTGCCTGCCCTACATTTAAACCTGAACCCTCCATTGTTCCTGGTCTTTGCTCCCTGGTTCCCGCGGGGTGGTGGTGAGTAAAGCCCCTCAGGACAGGTGTACCCATCACCCCTCTCATCTCTGCAGCTGCTGTGGGTGATCCGAGGCCGAGTGAGTCTGTAAATGGAGTGTCTGCTGCTGACCTGAGCGCTGTCCAGCTGGAGATGTCTTTTGGAAGGTAGCATCACCCTGCCATTCAGACCACAGCACTATGCTGTGTGATTTCAGAGAACTTTCTTCAAACACAAGAAAATACGTCAATTTTCAATCTTAACATTTGCTTGGAAATCCATTTTTCTGAGCATTCTGAAGCAGTTTGAGACATCAGGGTCATTTGAAGAGAACACAAGCTACATACCAGAACAATATAAGCTACAGCAATATTTTGGAAGAAAGGTAATGTATCAAACATTGAGTCATATATAAATTACAGTCAAAAACTATAGGTAAAAAACTTCCAGTGTAATCAGCATAGCTGTGCCAATACCCAAATGACATGAATCAAACTGCAAACATTTTTCAATGAGAATTAACCAAATACACCTGTATAATTTACCATCTCTGTTTTGCTAAATGTTCCCAGGAATTTGCTGAAGCCAGGAAACAAAGCAGAAAAGCAATACTTTCTTTGTATCCATGATTTACAATGTCTGTTTTAAAAGCAGACCTTTCAGTTTGATGTACAAATAGTAAATGCACTCTGGGGGTAGTTTCCAATGGATTTCTCAAGCTTATCCATCTACATGAAACACTTAAAGCCAAATCACTTGACAAATATTTCCTCTTAAATACTACAAAGAAAACATTTTAAAAAAGGCATTGCATCTTTTTACAGTCCAGGAACAAATTTAAGCATTCAGTCAACCCTTAAAATAGTTATCTCATAAGCCCTAAAATAGCTCACAATAAAAAGAACCTAAACCATTCAAAACAAAGTTAAATGAATCCAAATTCTTGCTTTAAGGCTCAAGATGCCAGGAAATTAGTAACCGTCAGTACCAAATTGTTGTAAGTACTCTCAAATAACAGAAAGGCAAAGTAACTTGAAAAATCAGTGCAGAACTTAGGAGATGCAGAGAGAACTCTTCCAGGAAATGGTATGTGTTTTAGCACAGCTGAAAAAATAATTCCTAAAATACATTACGAAATCTGCAAGGACAAAATTGTCCTAGTATGATGAACAAGACAAAGCAACTGTTAGATTTGTGGGCATGGAAAGACTTGAAAATTATGATATTAGAATTCAGCAAATACTGCTATTTACAGTGGTGCTATTTTCAGCTAACATTCTTCTAGTAAGATGTTGTGATTAAAAAACAACAACAAAAAAAATCTGGAAAACTGGTGGTGTTTCAAGAAAAATTGGTTAGCAGAAAGCATGCTCGACTGGGATGACTATCTTCTCTTTTCTTCTGCCAATAATCTTCATGCCAATGAAGATAAAGGATGACAGGTAAAAGTATGACTGCCAGCAGCTACTCACTCTAGGGTTTCCTGTTTAAAAAATGAAGAAAAAGAAGGATTAGAGCATAAAGTTATTGTTATATAGAACCAGTAGAGGTAGAATGAAGTGAGTAGAGTGCATCTTTCAAATGAAAATGTAAATATCAAAAACAATTTGTAAATATTTCAAGTCAAGAAATGAATTTTTAAGAAAATAATTCTCATACCTTTCATTTTTTATATTCACCTTTTAATTCTTTGTTTATCGACTTGATTCTGTTTATTGACATAAAGTTGAATATTTTTAAAATTTATTCCAAAGCATCTTTCAGGTCTCCAGATATTTATGCATTGCTTGAAAATGAGTATGGAAGTTGTCCAATAACTTTACCAGTAAGTATTTTGTTAGTTGATTATACTAAGATAAAACCAATTAGGAAGATGTATTTTGTAAATATTTATGACATCCAGAGACCACATTATGCCAAAACTGCATAGAAACATAAATTATATAGTCATCATCTTATATGAGAAAAAACATTACCCATTACTTTTGTGAAAACCAGGAGAGAAGAATTAATTCAATAAAATTATGATGAAATTGCAGTGGTTAATTTCCCAGCCAGGCCCTCAAAGACTTGATTTACTTTCTTTTGATTTTCAGTAGAGGATTATACCCCCTAGATTTAGAAGTTAGGAATTAGAATTGATTTTTTTTTTTCTACTAATATTACTATGAAAATAGACAGAATTGTGTAAAATTATTACAGACATTATGTCTAAATCATAAAGATGCTTTCCTTATGTATTCAGATCTGTTCCCATGTTAAGAAAGTTGCTATCTTAAATACTCTATGTTTTTCATATTATTTGCTATATACTTTGCAGAAAGGGGGGAAAAATCAAAGTTTACTTATCAATGTAGAAAGGCCAAATGAATAAAAACCTTTTGAACTCATCTCTGTATAATTTGAATTCAAATAATTCTAAGAACATTACAGTCAGACACTCAAAGGCATTTAGGTACCTAAAAATAGCTGTCTATAGGGCTTTTCAAGAGAGCTTAAGGAAGCCAGGAACTTAACTCCCATCTTAGAGCTCCTTAGTGCCTTTGGCCGTGCTCATTTTCTGGAGAGAGTCCTGCACGGGGTCCCTAAGCACATTCATAGACTGGAGCATCTCCCTTATGACAAAGAGCTGGGAAAGCTGACACTGCTCAGCCTGGAGAAGAGAGGGCTCAGGAGAATCTTAATGTGCATAAACACCTGCAGGGAGGGTGAAAAGAGGATGGGGCCAGGCTTCAAAGGTGCCCAAACTTAAACAGAGGAGGACACCTCTGAACATCAGGAACCAGTCTTTCAGTGGGAGGGTGACTGAGCCCTGGCACAAGTTGCACAGAGAATTTGTGAGGTCGCCCTTCTTGGAGATGTTAAAAATGTATCCAGGTGCAGTCCTGGACAATCAGCCCAAGAAGGGGTTGGATCAGGTGACCTCCAGATGTCCCTTCCAACTTCAACCTGTGATTCTGTTTACACAGTCCAGAAAGGTGAAAAAGGAGCTTAAGGAAAAGTATAGAAGGCATAATAAACCTTATTAAAAAAGTATTTTTACATTTACAAATACCTAATCATCCACAGCACTGTTCAGTCATGCATTTCAGCGAGAACAAATATACAAGAGCACAAATGCAGTGTATCTTCCTCTGCCTATGAAGAATGCATCATTCGTTGAACACATTCAATATCCAAATAATCTATATAAGGAAAAATATAGCAATGAGGAAAATTAATGGTAAGATCAGTTAAATGCAATCATTTCTAGAGGTACTATGTTACTTTCTAAAACCACATGAGTAAAAGCAGTGACTAAGAGCAAACTGTAAATTGAATTTCTCCTGTAGGCAATGACAAGGGTTTGTAATTTCTCCAGATGTCTGTGCAGGTGACTAATCTAAGCACCAGTACTTGAACAGATGGGTAGTATTGTGTCCCTCTTAAGGCCAAATAGCTCACTGATATAACAATTCTTGTAGCTTCAGTTTTTGGCTGTGGCCAAAAGATGCTCAGGGCAGGATACAACAATAGGCGAAGCATGTCATGGAACTTCCTCAATGTATGTACATTTTGACTGCAGAACACTGAGGTTCAATAGGAAGACTTTTATTATTAAATATTTTGATTAAAAGATTAATAACAATCTTACATGCTTTTTCTTACTTTGCTTGTATAAACTCTCTTTGATATTATATACAGAAAAAAAAATCTAAAGTGTAACATCTTGTGACAGAAGGTTTCATTATTTAATTATACATTTTTGTTAAAAAATTCAGCTTTTTTTTTTTTTAATTCACTTTAGGATTTTCTTCCTGTTCTTTTCTTGCTGCTTAAACAGGTACTTAACATTAAGCACACACTTAATCCTTTCATGAGACTGTAAAGTAATAATATATTTGAATATAAAGCTGAATTATGGTTTGAGTGTATAAAAATATTTTCACTCTGCAGATTTACAAAAAGTTACAATAGTTACTGGCAACTAGAAATTCTCGAGAATGGAAAAATGCTGCCTAGTTTTAATCTCACTCAGATTGTTCTGTGAGAGACAAGATCGCAGTCCTGCTTTGCAGCTCATCTCTTTGTATTGCTGAGCTGTACAATAACTAATTGTTCAATCATTTAAAATCAATTTCTTTCCGAAATTTAAGTTTAAAGATGTTATAATGAAATGTAGAATCAATAGGGAGGATGAGCCGATTTTCAGAAGCTTCACTTCTCAAACTGAGTGTAACATAATTTCTCATCACACAGGACTGAACACGACCGGGTCACTTGCTGACTCACAGAAGTGGTGCTCCTGCTTCTCTCATGTAGCATTCTGGGTGAGCTGGAAAAGGGAGAACAAAGAGCTGCTTGTATCCCAGGATTTCCTCTGGTAGACTTGCTCTGAGAGCAGCTCAGATCTAAGGTGGAGATCAGAAAGAGACACCATCATCAGTATCTGAACCCCATTAACTTCAAATCCCTTGAATCCAGGAGCAAAGCTGAAGGCAAAGGCTGTCTGAGTCATTCCCACCATCCTCAGATCACAGGAGCATCCACACACGGTACAAGGGGCTGGAAGGGTGCACGAGGGGCTTCATGGATACTCATCCTGTTCTCCAAAAACAAACTCTGTTCAATTGCTTTTTCAAATTCTTTACCTGAGAACCATGATAGGGCTTAATATTTTAATTTATTTTAATGCTTTGCATTTTAATTCCTTACTTCAAACTCAACTACTCAGCTGCTGCCATTGGCCATTGAAAAACCAAGGAAAAATCCTAGTCAATGCATATACTTTTTTGTTTATCATATTTTGTAACTTTGAACTTTAGCAACAGAAATATTTTGCACTGGAGCTTGCTACTTACTGCCAAGTTCTTCTTTGGTCCCCTGCTGTTGCAGTAATGCATTGCTAAAGACATGAATTTCTGAAAGACTTTTATTTTTGTCTCCCTACAATTCCCTTGTATAGGTAGACATCTGAATATCAGTCAACAGGTAGTCTTCAATTTGCACATTATTAAACAATGTTTGGGATTTAGTTGTTTCTTATTGATGCTTTTATTTTTTCTGTCTTTTTTTTTTTTTCTGAAAGAATAGGAAAAAAAGGAAAAATCATGATGGAGAGTAGGGGACAAATAAATAAGAAGTTGATACATATAATACATATATGTGTTCTTATTTTATATATATATATATTAAGAATAATGATCTGAAATAGGCACCAGAGACCATTGATACTTATTGCACAGATATAGGTGACAGAGATAGAGCTTGGAAAAAGAACCTCAAAGAGATGCAAGCCATAGAGAAAGAGCAGTGTTTAAGAGAAGAGAAAACAGGTAGATTAAGTGAGAAAAGTGGAAGCAAAAACTACTGTGATCTGATGAAAATACGAAGGATTAATAATGAGCCATTGTGATTCTAAATCATGCGAAATATACTGTTCAGAACAAATCCAGCTAATCAGGATGCATCTTTTAATCAACTTGCTGAGCATTTGATGAATTAAAGGTCCATATTTCAAAAAGTTATTGAAGAAAAGCTGAGAGAGGTAAGAAGGATGCATTATTTTATTTTTTTTTTATTGAGTCCTCGTGTGGCACTTCACCCTTTGTGTACATGACAACATGTTTGGGACCAGTGGGAGACAAAGCTCACTGATGCTAGAGAAGTCTATTCTGTGACTCAAGTAGTGGTTATTAAATTAATAGAAAATTCAAACTGGTAGAAAAATAGATGAATCTACTGAATTTGTATTAATTCACTATGCTATAGATAAGGAAAAAACACCAGGTTTTGCTCTAAGCAGGACTGAGCAAAATTTAGTCTTTGTTTTAGTAAATATTTATTTGTGCAGTTTCCATTCCTTGCACCTGCATTATTGCTCTCAGAAAAGATATAAAGATGTATAAACTGGTATTTTTCCTTTTTAGCTGTACTCTAAACTACTCTTTATTCAGTTTTCTGCCTTCTACAGGTCTGTGCTTGACCATGTATGACATTTTCATATCAAAAATATAATGACGTATAGAGGTTGAATACACTCAAAATGGCACAAACGAAACCAAGTTCTGTTTCTTTGTCCAACTGATGCAGTATTGAAGAGTAACACTTCAGATTTAGCTGCTGTTCTGACCTCCACACAGTTGCTACTAGTGAGCTATGTAAAGCAGGAGCTAGAACATCAATAAAGCATCTTAACTTTCAACAACTGTTTCTACACACCACTACTTTAAAGATAAAACTTGGTGTTTTGGCTTTGCACACATTGGTTTTTGGGATTTTTCTGATTTAACTCCTTTTAGGGAGTTTTGTTATTGCACTATGAGCTGAGGCAAGGAGGATTTCTACAGAAGCATTGTTTTGTGATTCAGTTGTTATTTCTCATGATGAGGCTATGATTGTTCTTGGGGGGACCTGGCTTTCTAGAAAGGAAGAGAACACTACAGTGGGAACAGGGATCTATGCCAAAGGCAATATTGCTCACTCATACTACAGCTGTAACTCTGAAAGCCCAAATAAATGTTCATATCTCTCCTTTTGTTGTTAAGCATTACAGCAAATCACTTGTTTTTCTTGTCCTGAGGCTCCAACTGCTTTCATGGTTATTTCTTTGCTCTGTTTCTACCTTTCTGCAGATGGGTACTTTCCTTGACTATACTGTCAGTGCATAATGGCCCTCAGCACTTCCACTTTAGTGCCATTACATTTAAATGGGAAAATGCTTCAAGCTGCTGCAACTTGGCTACTGTATTTTCTTAGGGCCAAATGGTTTCCTGGTACACAAAAACCATGAAAAAATGAAAATGCATTCAGGTTCTGTGTGGATTGCCATGTCTGTTAAAAGGTACATACATATGCAGTCACTCAAGAAAGAAAAAACACATTTCTGTGTTCTGAGAATTGTATTTTGCATGTGTAATTACTGCAACCATGAGTTATCAAGGACATTCTACTTCAGGGTTCAGCATTGCCTTTTGAACAATGTTCCAGGATGCATTCTGACTTGGAACACTAATCCCAAACTTAGTTCTGTTTTGCTCCAGGAGGCACTGGTCTATTATGAACTGCCTAAGAAAGAAACTCAGAAAACCCAATTTATTAGAGCTTGCACCACAAGGACATACTAGTATGTCTTACTAGACATTAATATTACAAATAATCTTAAATCTCTATGGAACTCCAGTTGGTTTTGCTTCTCATGGATCTCCAATCCATGTACAGTATACTGGCTTTCATGTGGACCATTAACTCCCTGGTGTACAGTGGTCTCCTAGTCAGGATCAATATGGTGATTTTGTTACAGGTGCATATATTTATGCTGCAACCTGTGTGTAATTTTACTTAATTTTGTGTACATATATATATATATATATTTGATAATATATATGTGTAATGGAAACTGAGCTGCTGTGTGATAGATGACATGAATGTTGTCATCTTGGGAGATAATTTGTCAATGAAGCAGGGGGGGAAACAATCTTATTTCCAAATTCCCTAATAGAATGGAGGAGCTAAGTATCAGAATGTGATACTGAAGAGTCACCAAGAAGGGTTTATAAGGACCATGAATTGGTATGTGCCTCATGGGCACATACCTGTTAACACAAAACATGAGCTGGTTTGAAAATGGTGGTGCTCTTCAGTTCAGGTTAGGAGTTCAGCCACTCTCACTGTTTATCACAGAATACACAGGTCATGTAGTCTCATACTTTAAGAGATGGGCTCAACAAATGGCCATGAAATTAGCATTGTAACCACAAGCAGATTATGCAGTCCATTTTGACAATTCCATTCATCATAAAAAAATTTGACTAAAGTTGCACACTTTCCATCATAACATCTCTAAAGTTGCTTTTATCTGATTAAAATAGAGGCTCAAAAATGGTGCCATAATTTTGAGTGTTCAATAAATTTCATTAATATCTAGTTATGCAGACAGTCTCCAATTCTTCATCTTATAAAAAGTCTTCTTTGGGATATCTAACAGCTTGTGGTGGGTTACCTTGCCCAGCCACCAGATACTAGTAGTCTCTCCAGCAGTCCTCCACCGTCCTCAAGATGCAGAAAAAACAACAAAAAGCTCACAGGAAAGGACAAATACAGGGAGATTATGTACATAAGCAAAACAGACTTGGGAAAAATAATTCAATTTATTGCTAATGTATAATTGAATAGAATGGTGAGAAATAAGAACAAAACAAAAGAAAACCCCCAACCTTCCCCCTACCATTCTCTTCCTCCTAGAGTGAATTTACTCCTACCTCTTTTATGTCCTCCTTCCCAGGCAGAAGGGGGACAGAAAATGGGGATTGCACTCCAATAATAACACTTGGCCATTCCTTTCTCTTCATGCTGCTCCCCTGCTCCAGCAAGAGGTCCCACCCACAGGGTATGTTTCTTCAGAAACTACTCCAGTGTAGGGCATTTAAACAGGCATTTCTTCAAGAATTGCTACATCACAGGTCCTTTCCTGTGTTCTGTCCTTTAGGTACAGAGGTGACAGGTCCTGACAGAAAGTATTGTCCAGTTCCTCTCCATAGGCTTCAGGTCCTGTCAGGAGCCTGCTCCATGGCTGTCCATGGGCTCCAGGTTCCTTCAGGGCACATCATCAGCCTGCCAGTGGATATCTGCTCCATCATCTGCAGGGGACAGCCAGCACCCAGCATAGTGTTCTCCATGGACTTCAGGAAAATCTTTACTCCAGTGCCTGCAGCTCCCCCACACTCTCCTTCTTCACCAGTCTTTGTGTCTGTAGGGCTGTTTTGCTCATATTCTTATTTCTCTCTCCCAGTTTTGGTTTTTTTTCACTCTTTTTTAAATAGGAAGTTGCAGAGGTACTACCACTATCACTGTTTTACTCAGCTGTGGCCAGTGATGGGTCCATCTTGAAACTGGCTCTAGATGACTTCTAAGGGAAGTCACCCCTGTACCCCTCCTGCTTGCAAAACCTTTCCCCATAAACACAGTACACAATTCTTTAGAAGATTCCTAATGAAAACAGATATGTCTGTCTGTCTATCTATCCACCCATCCATGTTCTTTTCAGTCTTATGTAGTTGCATTTGTTTATTTGAAACATGTTCTCACATAAAAAGAATTTCATCCAAATCTCAGTTAAAAAAAATAAGTTCAAATATAAGATACAGAAGGACCAGATGTTTGAAATACCAAGGCAAAGAAAATAAACAACAATCTATTTGTGTGTTTGAAGACTCTGGTCATAAAAGCCAAAATTATACTGAGTTCTCAGTTGTCTAAGTTAAAACAAGGATTGCAAATTGCTGAACTATACAAAATGACTGAAAATTCTAGCCTTTGCTCCTGCTTTCCTTCATCTCCTTTATATTCTGCATAATTAGCACTCTGATGATGAATTCAGGGTAGGGACTCACTAATTTACGCTGTTCCATTATTTAAATAATTATGAACTTTTTTACCAAATCTAGAATATCCCTTCTACAAAAGTGAAGATGAGTATAAAATAAAAATAGAACAAGTGTTAACACCTTGGCCCCAAAATCAGTAATGAGAATAGGAGAATATTGTGAGACAAATCTCTATCATCCATATGCAGAAATAAGAAAACTGGAGAGAGTAAGGGAAGCAACAGACCTGGAGAACTATTTATTGGGTAATAAATAGTTATATCCATCAGACTACATCCTTGATGCTAAAACTGAGCTTGTTTCCCTTCCTCTACTTTGCAAGAGCTTCTTATATAATTGCTAGATACGTGCTGATCTTTGCAAAGGGTGGAAATCAGTGGTTTGGGACTGAAAAGAAATTAACAATGGTGTCCTGCTTTCCTCCTGATAGAGCTGTATTTTCATTGCTTTGAGTTTCCTCTCCAGTATTTTTGACATGAGGAGGGAAGGACCTGGGTTAACACTATCTGTCAAGCAGACCATGCAATGACAGGATTTTATCAGGACTCGAGGACATATGGTTAAAGTTCAGAAATGATAAATAGTTAGAATTATTGCTTCTATTACAAAAAAAGTCTAAAAGTCTTCTTGGTTGTGCTAAGTAACTCTGTGATTGC